ACTGTTTTGCACAATTCAACAGTCTTCTTTCGGTTTCTGGTGAGATCACATGACGAATTGTTTCCAACCAACTTTCCCATCGAAGTGAAGAGTCACGACGCATTGGATGATCTATAGCTTTAACCAAAATATGATTTTAACTTATCTTAACGCCGTTACCACTTTTAAGCCATGCTCATCAAGTAAGAATCCACGATCTCCAAAAAATTGATACAGTTTCTGTCTATGCATATTTACTTCTTTCCGTTTCATACTACTTTGGGAGCTTCTGCTGTGGCATTATGCTATTATTTGCAAGCAGAGGTGAGGCAGCTAAGTGGCTTACAACTGGAGCTACTTCACTCCTAATCCCGCATAATTAAGTGTTTTCTTACTGTATGCACCTATTCCGGAGTTCATTGTATGCATGATACTTTCCAAAATCGGACCATCGACGTGGTACATTCCCAGACATTACGTCGGCATCGTATTCGGCATCGACAGTGAATCTTGCCATTCTTAGCACCACACAACCACTCGTGAAAGAGACAAGTGAAGCTGATCCTTTGACCAAACGTGTGCTAAACATTTGTGGTATCTCTCCTTCTGTCATGGGCTATTCACCTTTCCTAGATCCTTGTATCACGCCTTCACTATCGCACTTTTCTTTCTTTTCTAGCTTATTTAAATGTAGGGTAGTGTGCCCTTTTGAGCGACTTTTATGAGAACCTTCCACCTACGCTGGCGTTCTCACCCCCCTTTACTCTTGTGCTGGGAATGTTGCTCGGAGTCTATGGCAAAATAGGCCTATATTCAGCCAACTAGCTCCAGCCCAGCCGCGTCTATCTTGTTTCTATTCGCCATTCCAAGTCCTTGACTTCCTATGCCCTAGTCTCTTGTGGGCCAACTCATAAACATTGTGGTTCAACATTGAACCTAACCAAAGCAAGCAGTACCACAACATTTGTGGGTTGGCACACAAGAGACTAGGGCATAGAAAGTTATAGACTTGTTATTAGGGATAGCAACAGGATGGACGCGGCGGAGACTAGAGCTAGTTGGCTGTCAGTAGACCTGCTCTACCATAGACGTGGTCCATGAAGCAAAGGATTGATCATGAGAATTACTCGGGGTCTTTAGCCCCAAGTTAGCCTAGCAGACACAAAGTGTGAGAACTAACGCCTCGAGTAGTATAGATGGGGTGGCAGGGGTTTAGTGAAATAGTTGAACCAGAGAAAGAGAGAGAGAGCAGACGGATCCTACGGAGCAAGAGTGAGGACTGTGTAACAATATGACAGACTCTGATCTACATTTCCAGCGCAAGGGTGAAGGGGGTGAGAACGCCAGCGTGAAGTGTTCCTCTAAGTCTTCTTACCAATATGGCCAAGTCGCGAAAACAAGGTCAAACAACTTCTATACAATGTTATTATTGTTTGTTTTATAAAAACAAGATAATGGTGAATACATCTCATTGAAATGTTACTCTACTTATAAGCGATAATAAGTAATGTATTCTATTGCCATAACAAATATAACTTTGCTTTATTGACAATCACAGAAAAAAAAAGATTTTGGAAAATGTCTGGTATTACTTAAGTGCACATCTGCCCTATGACCAATGGGCATTCATGGCAATGTGTCTGAGTGGTTAACATGTCAAGTTCACATGCTCCACTGCTGAGAAGACCTAGACGAGGTCGGAACTGCCGTTCACTCTGAATGAGAACAACTTTTGGGTAAACAAGGCTATATTAAATTCTATAGAAATGATAGCTCTACTCCCATCAATGTGGCAAAATTCTACTACCAGTCCTTCATTACCTTAAACGAAATGGCGTGAATACATCTCATATAACTGATTTACTGGCAGTCTCGATACTCTCCTTATATACTATCAAGAAATTGTTCGAAGCCCAGCTTTGCTTCATGTCATATGTTAGTTAAAGTGCCATAATGACTGATGGTTATTTTTTCCACAGCGGAATTAGTTTAAGGCATTTTAATGCTTGGTCCTGCTTCCCCAATTTCTGTGAAATTAAGATGTGCCTCCTCAGCACCCTCAAAGGGACTCACACTCAGGGCTTTCGCTTCATAAAGCAACGTCGCCACTCCGCCGGATAGTCATGGATACCAGTTCCTCATAGAGCACTGGTGGCCATCTATCCAGAAGGACTTGTATTTTCTCCCTCGATTCACCATACTACTCTATTCGAAACCAGTAGGTCTCATTTTCATCATTTAATGGTGAATATGATCATGAGGCAGGTTTACGTGCTCTTCAAAGCCTCTTCCTTATTCACCTTGTTCCGGTCATTCAGGCTTATGTCTGAGTTTTGGTGCTTTTCGCTTGACGGTGTGGGCTGGAGCCAGTATGGAGATAAATCTAGTGTAGCTCTGCTTTGGCATACAGCGATGTGCACACACACACACACACATATGCCTATATATACATGTGTCAGACAGCTTATCACTTCGGTAACCAGTTATCATATGGTGAGCGAATTGGC